TGTCGGAAGCGTCGGAAAGGGAGGCATCGAGGGACTGAAGGTCGGCGATGATGGCGTCCTTCTCGGTGAGCTTGTGACGGAGAACAGACGCCTCTGGTTCGAGGAAAAATAGCAACTCTAGGCTAAAAAATGCAGAGAGAGGCACAACGAAGCACGATCCAAACGGCGGAGGAGGAGGTGATCCAAACGGTGGCAAGATCGAACCTTTCCCGAGAGCAAAACAAGAGCCAGTTGAAAAAAGAAATAAAGAAAAAAAAATACAGGGGAAGCTAACAGAGAAGACCGCACCTCAACGTAAAGGAAGAACAAGGAAACTTACAACGGAGGAGGAGGAGGAAAATCGAACGCACCGCAGCTGATCTGGACGACTGAGACCCAGTGAAACGCGAGGGACAGAGGTTCGATGGTCCTTGCGCGTCTGGAGAAGGGGAACAAAGAACAAAAACATCAGTTCCAGGCTAAAGATTCACGCAGAAAGCTAATGGGAAAAATTGCACCTCACCGGAAAGAAGAAAAGGAAGAAGAAGAAAACTCACAACAGAGGAAGAGGAGGAGAGCCAAATGCCTGGAACACAGCAACCCAGAGAACGCGAGAGACCGAGGCTCGCTGATACCTGCGTGGTTAGAAGATAACCGGTTAGCTCAACAGGCTCTCGTACCAAGGCTCAGAATAGCCGGATAAGCAACAGAGCAACATTGCCCAAAGAAAGAGAGAGAGAGAAGACAGAGGGAAAAGAGGCAGACAACGCAGCAGGAGGCACATGGGATTCGGCAGAGGAGAAGAGGCGCGCGATGCGCGAAGAAAACAACGTCTCAATCACATGTGCGGCACGTGAGAGGACGACGAAAAACTCCAGGTCATCAGAGCTCTTCGCTCTTTATCTACTTATGTTGATAAAGCCGCGAAGGCTGATCTACAGTCGATTGTCCTGGTTTCGCTGTGGTTTCGCAGCTCATTTCGTCCTTTTTGGTCCTTTCTCAGCTTCCGCGCAGCCTCTTTGGCTGCTGCTGCCTTTTTGCTCATTTCTGCTTTTGTTCCTTCTTCCAATTGTGCCCTTGTCCTGGTTTCTTTGTAATTTTATGCTCAATTTTGTCCTTTTGTTTGCTGTCCATCCTTCGGCTGCTGCAATTGTTATTTAACAGTTTTGTCCTTTTGTTTCTTGTGCATCTTCCGCTGCTGCAATTGTTATCGAACTTTATTGACAAAAATATATTAATTTATCGATTTGATTTATTAACTTCCTTCAACATATAACTTCCTTCTTTAACTTTCTCCTTCTTCAAAATATAATTTCCTCTGCTCTTTTATATTTATTAACTTTCTTCAAAATATATATATTAGCAAAGATATTGATTTTCTAAAAAATATACAAATCAATAAAAATTCTGTGTGCATCTAATATATACATAACAATATAAATTCTATGTGTTACATTATCTATTCGTTGATTTTGAATGAGATATTAATTCATCAATAAATAAATTACTTCATGATTAAATAAATATTTATTCATATATGCTATTCAATCAAACATTATTAATTTTCGATATCAATGAACTAACGAACTCTTCAAAATTGTGTTATCTTTAAATTTTAGAATCTTATTAATTCCCAAAAAAATTGAGTAAGATATTGATTGATCAATAAATAAATTGCTTCATGATTAAATAAATATTTTTTCATATATGCTATTCAATCAAGCATTATTAATTTTCGATATCAATAAACTAACGGACTCTTCGAAATTGTGTTATTTTTAAATTTTAGAATCTTATTAATTCCCAAAAAATTAATGCAAGTACTATTCTTTCCAGCAACATTTATTTACAAATCAATCGATCTAATACTCATAGAATACAAAAATGATTATTCGATTAAAATACAAATATATGATTTCTTAATTTCTAATATCACATTGTTAAAAATCTTTAATTTATATATGTTGCTTCGATATCACATTGTTAATTTATATACAAGAAACAAAATACACACATTGAATAATAAAGATGTTGCTTCGATGATATTCTCTCTTAATTATTGTTTCTTTACTTTTGTTTGTTGCAGCTGTGCAGCCGCTATCTTCCATTCCTTAATGCATACACGAATTTTTTGGGCTATCCAAATCTATATATATTCTTGCATCCTACTTGTGTGCCTTTATATATATATATATATATATATATATATATATTCATTTTTATATATATATTCATTTTCTCCAAAATATATATGTCGACAAAAATAATGATTTTTTAGAAAATATATATATCGACACAAATTTTGTGTGTATCTAATAAATATAAATCAATTGTGCCACTTTGTATTAGCTTCCATTAATACAACCAATTGTTTTTTAAAATATAGCATAATTTCTCTCTATTTCAAAAATGTAACTTCCATAATATTTGTTAACTACTAAATTATTAATTTAAAGCTTTTGCATTTTCGAGACTAAAAAAATATTAAATATCAAAAAATTACGCAAGTCACTAAAAATCCTATGTATATCTAATACATACTAACGAATAAAAATTCTATATGTATCTAATCAATATATATAAATAGATTATGCTGTTTTGTATTAATGCAAATCATTGAAAATTATATGTGTTTAACCTATATCTAATGTATATAAATTAATAATACTGCCTTGTATTAACATATAATAAGTGTTATTTATATCAAATAATTATAATTTTGAGACTATTTCTATATTTATAATTTTCTCTCCTTCTTTATATTTATCCGCTTATTTATTAACTCGCTTATTTATTAATTTTGTCGAAAGTGTGTACATTGACAAAAATATTAACTATTAAAAAATACGCAAATCACTAAAAATGCTATGCACATCTAATACATAAAATAGCATTCTTTTTATGTTTATTCGCTTATTTATTAATTTTCTCCAAAATGTATATTAGCAAAAATATTAAATATGAAAAAAATGCAAATTCTTAAAAATCCTACGTACAATGCAGATCAAAAAATCATATATGATTAGCATGCATATAATATATATAAATTAATAATACTACTTTGTATTAACCTATAATAAGTGTTATTTATGTGAAATAATTATAATTTCGACATTATTTCTATGTTTATAATTTTCCATCCTTCTTTATATTTATCCGCTTATTTATTAACTCGCTTATTTATTAACTTTGTCAAAAGTGTGTGTATTGAAAAAAATACTAAATATCAAAAAATTACACAGGTCACTAAAAATCATTTGTATATCTAATACACACTAACGAATAAAAATTCTATATGTATCTAATCAATATATATAAATCGATTATGTTATTTTGTATTAATGCAGATCAATGAAAATTATATGTGTTTAACCTATATCTAATATATATAAATTAATAATACTGCCTTGTATTAACATATAATAAGTGTTATTTATATCAAATAATTATAATTTCAAGACTATTTCTATATTTTAATTTTCTCTCATTCTTTATATTATCCGCTTATTTATTAACTCGCTTATTTATTAATTTTGTCGAAAGTGTTACATTGATAAAAATATTAACTATTAAAAAATACACAAATCGCTAAAAATGCTATGCATATCTAATACATAAAATAACCTTCTTTTTATGTTTTCGCATATTTATTAATTTTCTCCAAAATATATATATTAGCAAAAATATTAAATATGAAAAAATGCAAATTTCTAGAAATCTACGTACATCTAATATATGCAACTGAATAAAATTCTATGTTTATCAATCAGTATATATAAATCAATTATGCTGTTTCGTATTAATACAAATCAATGAAAATGATATGTACTTAACATGTATCTAATGTATATAAATTTAATTAATTTTCTCCAAAATGTATATATTAGCAAAATATTAAATATGAAAAAAATATGCAAATCGCTAAAAATCCTACGTGCATCTAATATATGCAAATGAATACAAATTCTGTGTGTATCCATCATATATAATTTAATTATGCTTTTCGTATTAATACAAATGAATGAAAATCATATGTACTTGACATGTATCTAATATATATAAACTTAAAAAGAAATCAATCCAATATTTATTGATTCAAAAACAATTATTCGATCAATAAATACAAATATATGATTCTAAATTTATAATTTCAAATTGTTAGAAATCCTTAATTTGTATATATTATATTTATGAATTTATATTCTTCACTATATTTCACTATACAAATTACATTCCAATCAATATAATTCGTACACTACACTGCTATTCTGATTTCATAATACAACTATATTTTTTTCCCTATTTTCTATCTCAGGTACTCATTGGTGATATACCCTCGCATATACAAACAGACAACATAGGAGTCATCAATTGCTATTATGCTAAAACTCGATGGATCTTTCAGCTAGAAGGAATAGAAATAACAGAAGATTGGCCAATATTCACACAAAAACACTTCTTACATGAAGGAAGTGTCCTCCTGTTCACCCTACTCAATAAAAACAATTATCATATGTAATTCATCAGCAGAGACTTTATCCAATAATCATAATTAAACGTGTCCGCTACAGCTTCTTGCACATAGCAATTATCTGTTTTTCTAAATTTTCTTTATTCTACTTCCACTTATATTTAACAATATAAAAATAAACATATCGAAATTATTTCAAATTATTAATTTATCTCAACTCTTAAAAAATGATTTACATTCCATTAATTTAAATAATATTTACATCCTGTTACTCTTAAAAAATTAAATACAAATCACAATAATATTACTATATCTATTTATAAATATATTAATCCAATATATTGTTCCTCTATTTATTATTCCAACCCTACTATCATATAAAACACTCTAAATATTAATTATTAAATAAACTTTACATTACTCTTAAACCGTCAATAATGGGCACCGCGAAACTCGCGGGGCACAATGCCTAGTACTTATATTAAGAACCCAAGGGTAATCTCGTTAATCTGCGCTCTTTAACAGGGACAAAAGAAGGAGAGGGAGAATGCAAAAAAGAGGAAATAGTGCAGGTGCGTGGCGCGGCCGGGGCTAGTTTTAACAGTAACACAAACACAAGCGCTCGCTCGAGAGATTGTTAGGTGCACGCTTGGGTTTTCCTGTTTACTTCGATCAAAATAATTAGAAAAGAAAAAAAATTAAGGGCGGAATTCAATGGCCGAAGCGTATTGGAGGTACAGCGACATCCGGCAGCAGGCCCCGGCGACTCTTCAGTTGCCGGTCGCGAAACGTCCTCGTTCTGATTACGGTATTAATAATATATTCCACCGTTTGTTTCCAATTTTACCTGTTTTCGTCGATTTTTTCTCTAAGCTAGGGTTTTGGGGATTGTTTTGTTTGGGTATTACTTGCAGAATCACTGTGTTTTGCAAAAGCAGTAAAACCAAAAAAGAAAAAAAAAGCGATCTTTGATTTCTTCCGAGTGAATGCAAAAGATGGCTCTTGAAAATTTGGGTAAAGTAGATTTAGCCAATTGTGTAGATTATTTTTAAGAGTAGATGATTGTGTTGACCCCCATCAAAACTAATTTATCTCACTTTAGGGGATGAGAAAAGAGAAATAAGAGATGCCGCAGGTTGTGTTTGGACGAAAATTCCTTTTTTGCTATTTTTATTACAATCATTACTGTTGTTGTGGCCGGCTTAATTTTGGTAAAGTTAGGAATTATGAGGACATGGAAAACAGGGCATCCAGAGTTGATGTTTTTTTTCTTATATAAATTTTTATTTTACATGAATGGCATACAGTATTATGCCATACTTCAAATTGGCTACTAAACTAACCATGTTTGGACCTCTATGATTGAGTTTGATGTGTTCTTTTTTATGTAGCAGATGTGCCTAGTGGCCATGAATTGTCGAACTACTATGCTCACGAAGATGAAAGGGTATCACACCGTGTCATCAGAGATACTGACCCTATTGGAGCATCTTATGACCGTTACCTACGTAGCTCGGTATTTTTTGGCATTAGGTTTTACTCTTCAAATTTAGATCGCCAGGTTAGGTGAATTTCACCTATTTGTGCTTGTGTCTGACACACTTTTGCTATTCAACAGCAATTGTCATCTTACTCTGGTGGGGAGTCTGCAAGATCAATGAGTAATGGACTTGGTGGACATCCTGTTGATGATCCGCGAATTGTGGGCATGGGGGGATCTGATTTAGCTATGAGCACAAAGAGCCGGAGCATGGGTGTAGGTGGTGGAAGATCTGAACTTCCTCTTCCTCCTGATGCTTCCAGTACGCTGTTTGTGGAGGGCTTGCCTGCCAATTGCACACGTCGAGAAGTTTCTCGTATCCTTTTGTGATTGGGATTTCAAAGCACTGCTTTCATATTTCTATTCTACTTTGGTTTCCTTCACTCTGGTATGCAGATATATTCCGCCCCTTTGTAGGCTACAAAGAAGTGAGGCTTGTAACCAAAGATTCGAGGCATGTAAGTATAGACACTAATTTATACCTCTTCCTGAATCCATAAAGGCTTTTGTATAAGTATTTTTATGCTGCTACGCTGAATTTCCATGAACTGTTGCAGCCTGGAGGTGAGCCGTTGGTCCTTTGTTTTGTTGATTTTGCAAGTCCAGCTTATGCAGCTACTGCAATGGATGCATTACAAGGTAAGATTGAGAAATACAATGTTATACTTGTTACACCATTTCCCATGAAAAGAATAGTGAACAGGTAAAGAATTATGGGCTTAATTATGAACTTGTGCTTAATCATGGAAGATTGAAAGAAACACTATTGCTCACAAGATCTTGGAAGATTGAAAAGAACCACTATTGTTGTTAATACCATCTGTTTTTATCAGCTCCACTAATATTATCACAACATCTCCACTATTGTTACCAACGCAAGCCCAATTTTATCTGTTGGACTAATATTATCATGACTTTTCCTTTTTGAGCCATAAATTTGCATCTATTATATTAGGAGATGTTGCTAAGACAATGATCAATTCCAAAGGGTGCCCATTTTTGTATTTGGTACCCAGTAAATGGTAGCACCATATTTTGCGTGTCTGGATTCACTCAGACATGTATGACTGTACTGATGACAATGGAGTTTAAAATCAACTAGCAAGTCTGACCAGGTTACCGGTTTTAGTTATAGTTGGCATTTTAAGTTGTGTTTCTATTGACAATTTAAGAGTGAGAAAGGAAGCAGAAGGCGTGAATTCAGGATCTGAGATCATGAATCTAACAGCTAGTGCCACCAAGCCTGATGTTGGATGCAGTCTCTTGTACTAGTCTGTTCTGAACCAAAACTTATATCTCCAGATAGGGTTGATTCAGAAATGGTGCAGCTTAGTTTTCATTTTTACACTTCTGACTTCACGCTGTGCCATTTCATGTTCTTCATTCCGGGAAATTCACATTGAGATCAAATATGACAGGTATTGGTGAGATTATTCATCTTTAGAATCCAGGAAATTATCTATGCATAATGATCGAAATTGTTGATTGGTGATAATATAAAGTCAATAGCTCTTTTAGCAAAAGAATAAAATTTTTTGGCCGCATTTAAGATATCTTTTTTCCTTGGGCACATACAGATTAGTGGAACTCTATCTGCTGGACTTGCATAGTGTGCTGAAAGTTGGTAAATAGCATAAATGGACATTATTATACGAGTGTGTTTATGTGTTTCCAATGCAGCAATAATTCAACTATGAAAATGAGTTGATATCCCACAGTTGTAATAACAAAAAAAACCTTGGGATGACACGTAAAATAGACAAACTTAATCTTGCAGGTTATAAATTCGACGAGCATGACCGTGATTCTGTGCGTCTAAGGCTGCAATTTGCTCGCTACCCTGGTGCAAGGTCGGGTGGCGGGCATCGTGGAAAACGCTGAATTATGCAGCTACAGGTGATACGTGATACACTCGATGCGCTTGAACCCTTAATGTTTATGGCCACTATGTTTTGTTAGATATAGTGGTCATCAAAGCACACTAAATAATGGAACAACGCTTGTATGTAGGACCTACCACGAGAGATGATACGATGCCTTGGACTTTTGCGAATTACATCGTTTTCCAAATGGACGCTTTCCCTAGGTCCAGCTTGAATTGGGTGGGTTGCCGTATTTGAGTGGTGGCTGCTGATGTCTTAAGAGCGTGTTAGTGTTTTCTATTGCTGTTGTTTTTCGTCTCAAAATCTGGTATCTATTCTGAAGTTGGAGGGCATGCGGGATAATGTTATAGGTCATGGCAGATGATCCTTATCCTTTTGGCCTTCAAAATATAGGAGACTCTTATACAAGTTAATGTAAACTAAGTGCGATTTATTTAGTTTACTATTGTGCCATATGATGGTTTTTAAGCTTGTTTACTGAATCTGTGCTTGATGAGCACTATAGCTATTTCACCCTTTTCCTTCTTTTATTCTTTTTTTTTTAAATTACGATGACGCAACAGACTATTCATTTTCTGCCCTAGTTCTTTGGTTCACTTTATATGTCAACGTGTTTGTGCCCTCTACATCCTTCACAGACATTTGGAAAATCTAATGCAAGCATAAGCCGGACTGCATTTTGTAGGTTTCTTCTGGAATTGGAAACATAATACCTTTGGAATGATACCTTGAATTCATTAGCTTCTTATCAAGAATTGGAATGATAATGGAAGGGTGTTAGGTGCCCCTATCAATGTCTATTTATGAAATTTTGTTAAAAGATGGTTAGAGAGAGGGAGAGCTGCATCTTGGCCATGCATTAATCACTTATTTGAGTTGAAGATTAGCAACTTGTGCACGTGTGATGCACTTCCCTTTGATATGAATCCAAAACTGTCCTGCATGTGCGTCACTCTCTATTAGGAGTTTCTGCACATTTTTCAGTTCTTGAAGTGGAGAAAATGCCGTCTCCTGCTGTAGCAAGATGCATTTAATTGACAATGTTACTCCAATGTCATTTGGATTGAAGAAGCTCTACCTCTATCGAAATGAGGAAGCCTCCAAATGTGAACTTATCTCTGGGCAGGAAATCTTGCTATGAAAGAACACCAACATAACTGCATTAAAATTTGACATAGATCGTCTTAACATTGACTTCTTGCAGTTAGCTTGCACTAGGGACATTGTCAACTATGCAGCGCTGTGCTGTATTCTTGTTTCACTCAACCATCCATGTTCAATGATGACATAAGTTTTTCCAAAGGAAAATTTTTCCAATACCTTAGATAGGATTCCTTATCTTGAACTGTATAATTTTAGAGCGATAAGCAGAATCTTGTATCAATGATGGGGATTGAGAAGATTTTCAAAACTAGTATACTTGTTATGGTATTTGTGCATCTCTTTGCCCTTAGTTGTGCCGCTAATGTGGTGTGGTTTTAATTGCTTTTGGAAGCATCATAGACTTTGGTTGCCTGGCCATACCTGCTTAATGGGATGTAAAAACTTCATGATCTGCTGATTTGCTGATTGCTGTCTTTCTTGGTGATCTGTTTGAGCCTTGTCTGATGCAAGGCATATCTTGATTGTACATCTGAATTTCTATTCACTCGCGGCTGTGGTAATTGAGCTATGAGCATTTTCATGCTCGAGATTCTCTTGCTGATAATGTTGAAGGGCCCACGCTGGTTGTATCAGATACGTTGGATTTGGCTTTGGAATTTTGGAACACTCAATATTGGTCTGAAAGTTACTTCTGAAAAAGGAGGGCATGGAATGTGGAACAACTTCTCAGATTTTTAGTTCTTTCTGTTTAGCTAACTGATTTTCATTGTTGTTGTGCTGTGGATGTGGAATGCAGACAAGCAAAGCATCTAAGTAGTTTTTGTTTGGCTGTAACCTCATGTTGGATAAAATGAACCTGATGGAATGTGAAAAAAAGTTTCTGTTTTTTTTCACATGAAAATTGTTTAGTTAACTGATTTTAAAATTTGTGGTGCTCTGGTCCTCTGGAAGTGGAATGCAAACGAGCAATTAGAGTCTTTGTCGATTTGATGTTCCTGTCAGCTACAAACCTTACTGATCTAAATGTGCTCAAGCTGCAGAAGGCGGATCAACTGAATCGAAGTTTGACCTTAACAAATTTTAATTCGTGTTTGCCTCTTTTAAAACTCCTGATTTCTTTTCCTCCAGTATTACATTCAAAGCTTGAATAGATTGGCTTTCTGCCTTGGTCATGAGCTTGAGATTGTTCAGAGTATGCCTCATTCTGTTCCTTCTGCGTTTTATTCTTTTTTCTTTGCAATATGCTGTCAGTCAACCGAAAAAAAATGGCATATGATGTTTATGTTCACCGGATTTCAGGTCGAAGTTGATTTTATGATGAGAACATACTTTCAGATTTTAGCACTCGAGCATTTCTTCCTTTCGCCTTGGTTTCTTGGCTTTATAATAAGAGGAAGGTGGCAATATAGCACCAAACGGATATTATAAGGCTATGTAAGGATGGTTTCTGAACTCAGTTTAACCCTTGCCTCTGTAAATTAGCACAAACAACTGGATGATCTATAAAAAAAAATTAGGGTTATATGCAAAAACCCCTCACAAAACTATATATCTAGTTGCAGTTTACCTTCTGAACTATAATAATTGGCATTTTGCTCCCTTGAATGATACGTTTGGACAACACTATTCCTACTATTTTAAATTCTTTTTTTTTCTCTATTAGCCTTTTTCATTTTTGTTTCTTTTATATTTTCTTTTGTTCTCCTTCTCTCGTGGAACTAGATCACGTCTCTCTCCGATGTGAAAAGACCTTTTGTTTTCCTGGTATGTGTGAAAGAGAAAGATATTTTCATAATTAAAATTCTCGCAAGCTTTGGACGATCATGCTAAACTAGGCGAAAGAAATTGAGGGAACCCCATGCTGCTCGAACGACGACGACCAGGAATTAATATGAACGACCACATTAATATTTTGTTTGGATGGCCATTATTTAGCCAAAAATTATTTGTTTGGATGGTCATTATTTAGCTAAAAATTATTTGCTGACATCATAAATATAATCTTTAACACATCTTTTTATTTCATTTACAGCACATCACAAAAAGTGATATAATAATTATTTCAAATAATCTCCCGTCCAAATAACAGGGTAGTAATTAGTAAAGTACATTAATTTTCCCGGTAAAAATTTCTGTGAAATGTAGTCAGGGGAAGCCAATTTCCCTGAGCATGAAATCTTCATTAATCATTTGCAGTGTTATCTTTAACGTCATCCAAAACCCGAGGGGAGAGGGGCCTATGTGGAGTGCTTCATTTTTTTCCCCAATTAAATTATTAATAGTCCATGTCTGTAAATGATAGTATATTGTATGATTCTACAAAGAACACATAATGGATTTGTTTGGACAACTTTGATTTCAAATAAAAAAATTTATTTCACAAATTTCAACCATCTTTTTATATTTCCAATCACTCTTTTATCCCACATACATCACATCACAAAAAGTACTACAGTAATTATCTCAAATAAATCATCCAAAGAAACTCTTAACCAAACAAACTCATTCAGTTCCCCCCCCCTTAATAACGATAAGAAAAATTTCCCTCCAAAAAAGTCATAATATCATTTAAGTTCTCCAAGAATGTGCAAATTGGTCTACCAATTCGAGTAAATCTTGGGTTGTATATGGATTGAGACTCGTGTATAATTTTGTTTGGATAATTTTTTATACACTATCAGTATATAATTTTTATGTTGGTAGATTTAAATCATTGCTATATAATATAAATTTAAATTTAAAATTCAAATCATGCACGTATAAGCATACATCCAAAGCTAAGTTGCCACTTAATCCATTTTGTTTTAGCGTGTAATTTTGGGTTATCTATTAATTGAGTTTAATTGATATACCCTTGTGAATTCGGACCACTTCTGTCTAGTTCTGTCCGATTACCTAATAAATTAGCACAATAATAGCAGTAAATTTTGCATCAACTCATTTATAATTCACGTTTACATCGAAATTCTATGGTTTACATGGCTGGAGCTGGTGATTCCCATTTCCTATCCTTGGAGGTTCCATCACAGAATACTTGTAATAATAAATTTGATCTGTAAGAATAATTGAAACTAATAATTTTTGTTCTGGAGTGGACAGAATCTGAAATCTAAGCCGCTAAAATTAGTTAGAGGTGAGGCTTCGTTCCCAGAATCTTATCCTTCCCGTTCTAAACCACACGCTTTCCTTTGGCCCATTCTCACCATACTATAAACAGCAGCAGAAGCTGGCAACTTCAAAGGTTGTTCGGGAAGGAACCCCTCTGAAGCTCTGCTTTTCGTCAAGACTTCTACTTCATTAATGGCTTTGTCTAGCCCACAACTTCGGAGGTTTCTCTTAAACCACAGGGGATACTGCAACTACGAATTGAACAACAAGACCACAAAAAAACACCGTCGCGGTTAAGGGTGGGGGAGGCAGATGCTGCTCAGCCATTGCAATTGATGCCCCATCTTCTTTGACAGGTGTTTCCAGCATTAGATGGGGTTCTTCCCTTGTACAAGGTGTCCGCGAAGAGATGGAGGATGATGTCATTATTGTTCGGTCAGAGGATCTTGCTGGCTTCTCTTATGCAGCTGTTTTCGACGGCCATGCTGGTTTCTCTTCTGTCAAATTTCTCAGGTTTGGCTAATTGGTGCTGTGGCTTATTACATACGAACCATTAAGAGGGGGGGGGGGGGGAGAACTGCATGAGCTTTTGATGCTCTGAGTCATCCGTACCATCTTTTGCAGCTTTCTAAATTGCTTCTCCATTTTTATTGAATCCTATAGGGTGTCCCTGGATGTATTCAACGATCATCTAAGTGGGACTAATCAATCACTACTAAAAAAAATACTACCGTGTAATTTAACCTCACTTTTGTGTCAGTAACTTTATAATGGTTTTTCTGGGGACTGCTACAGTTTACTTTCATGATTTCTACATCCACATTACTTTTTACTGGGAAAAATTTGATGCTTAATTCAATGTACTGGTTCCAGAAATGAGTTGTACAAAGAATGCGTGGCAACATTACAAGGTGGACTTTTACTGAGGGAGAAGGGGTTTGACACAGTAAAGAAGGCGTTAGAAGAGGCTTTTGAAAGTGCTGATATGAAACTCTTGAACTGGTAAACCCATGTATATTCCTGGTGAAGATTCTTACTGCCTCATTAATATCTGTGCGCTGGACATGTAATCTAGTCTCGATATGATTCTACATTGTATATGATTGCGTTGAAGGTTTAGACGCTGTTTGATTTTGTAAAGGCTTGAGACGAGCGCTGAGGAGATGGATTCTGGCTCAACAGCTACTGTGATCCTAATTGGAGATGATACATTGTTCATCTCTCACGTTGGTGACTCATGCGTGGTAATCTCTTTTAAGTTTTCATGATTATGCTTTTCCATTTTTTTTTTTTTGTGATGGTCTACTCATACCAAACAGATGCCAAACCCAGCTCTTTTCCTTTATCAATCGCTTTGGTTTAGGTGCTGTCACGATCTGGAAAAGCAGAAGTGTTAACCAGTTCTCATCGTCCATACGGAAGCAACAAAGCGTCTCTGCAAGAAATCAGGCGTATCAGAGAAGCAGGTGGATGGGTGTGTTTTCTTTTCTTGAATTCTTAATTTGATTGCTTTTCTTTCAGTTGTATCAGCTATCTTGTCTAGAATGATTACGCTGCCTTTAGAATTAGATCCTTCTGCATTTGCTATGCTCTGAAAACCTTCAGAGAAAGTATCAAAAAACAGAAAAAACTGTCAGAAACTACATTAGTGTGACTCAGCTTCACGGTGTTGCATCTGGAGTTAAATTCAATCTCTCAAAGGAAAAACTGATAAAGTCATGTCTTTTAATACCATTACTATGACAAGTCCTTACCAAGTGGGCATTTACTGGCCATGAATATTCCAATATGCTACTCAAACAATGAATAACACTTCTTGAATTTCAATATGCTCCTTGTTCTTAGCTGACTAGGTACTTTAGGGGACAATTCTTTTTTGTTTTATTTGCTCAAGTCGATAACAACTGCTCAATACAAGTTGAGGGCTATACATTGACGCTAATTCCATTTTAGTTTACAAACAATGCTAGACTTTTACCTTTTCCCTGGGATGGTGTGGAATAGTCTTGCCTTAATTTTTCCCCTTCTTTTTGCTAACGCAGTTTTTTTGCTATCCCTGTCGCAATTAAGCTCATTTTGTTCTGACATATCTTGCAATTTAAGAACAGGGCATAGAAATATAGACATAATGGAAATTTTTTATGTGGTGTCTACAGATAAGCAATGGCAGAATTTGTGGAGATATTGCAGTGTCACGTGCTTTTGGTGATGTGCGGTTTAAGAGCAGGAAGAATGAGTATGTGTATTCCTCATTATCCTCAATTGACACAATGAATTTGTTGCCATGCCATATATCTACTTGAGAATCTAAGAGATCCTATGCATTATGAATCTTCTGTTAATATTTATACATGTTGCTGTGAAGGATGCTGGAGAAGGGAGTTGAGGAAGGCAGGTGGTCCCAAAAGTTCATTTCCAGGTACGTGATATTCCATTTTCTACAAACAAATGTATTTCGTTCACTTGTATTCTTATCACTGCTGAAACTAGAGTGGTGAATTTAGTTGTCTCTAAAGCACTGGACCATAATAATTATGGTGGAATCTGTTTTTAATATTTTGTCTTTTCAGTATCAACCACTTCTACAGTGCAGGAAAATCAAATTTTCTTGGGCTGTCCTTAGGTTATCCTTTGTTGAATTATTTTTATGCAAAAAATGATGAGTCAGATTGTGTTCCAAATGTGAGATAAATGCCAAATCAAATTTTTATAAGATGATTCCCTAGGTCATTACAGATTTGGTATTAAGGCTGGAAGCATGATAAATCTCAAATGCACTTCAAGACAAGTTTTAAGTTAGACTTCCCTTAGGAAGTCCACTCTTGAATTAATAAAAAATTTGCAAACTGCTCTTTTATAATGCAAGAGCCTTTTGGGATTATTTCAGGATACAATTTACTGGAGACTTGGTTACAGCATGTCCTGATGTTTCCCAAGTTGCTTTGGAATCAGATGCTGAATGTGTAATATTAGCATCTGATGGATTGTGGGATTACGTAAACAGGTTTTATTCTTAGAGCTTTTGGAAGTTTGGCTTTTGCCCTATCAAGCAATTAGTCATTCATTCATCTTCCTTATACTGGTAATCCAGTCATCCTGAAGAGCATAATGGTTGAGAAATTTTACCATGTTTCAGTTCAGATGCAGTTGATTTTGTTAGAAATCAACTTCGAGAACATGGAGATGTTCAGGTAAGGAATGTGCCATGGCTCCTTAATTGATCTGCAGTACAGTAGGCATTATCTGATTTTCTTTGCTCTGATTACAGAGAGCTTGTGAGTGAAGCCCTTTGCTCAGACGAGAGCAGGAAGAATGAGTATGTGTATTCCTCATTATCCTCAATTGACACAATGAATTTGTTGCCATGCCATATATCTACTTGAGAATCTAAGAGATCCTATGCATTATGAATCTTCTGTTAATATTTATACATGTTGCTGTGAAGGATGCTGGAGAAGGGAGTTGAGGAAGGCAGGTGGTCCCAAAAGTTCATTTCCAGGTACGTGATATTCCATTTTCTACAAACAAATGTATTTCGTTCACTTGTATTCTTATCACTGCTGAAACTAGAGTGGTGAATTTAGTTGTCTCTAAAGCACTGGACCATAATAATTATGGTGGAATCTGTTTTTAATATTTTGTCTTTTCAGTATCAACCACTTCTACAGTGCAGGAAAATCAAATTTTCTTGGGCTGTCCTTAGGTTATCCTTTGTTGAATTATTTTTATGCAAAAAATGATGAGTCAGATTGTGTTCCAAATGTGAGATAAATGCCAAATCAAATTTTTATAAGATGATTCCCTAGGTCATTACAGATTTGGTATTAAGGCTGGAAGCATGATAAATCTCAAATGCACTTCAAGACAAGTTTTAAGTTAGACTTCCCTTAGGAAGTCCACTCTTGAATTAATAAAAAATTTGCAAACTGCTCTTTTATAATGCAAGAGCCTTTTGGGATTATTTCAGGATACAATTTACTGGAGACTTGGTTACAGCATGTCCTGATGTTTCCCAAGTTGCTTTGGAATCAGATGCTGAATGTGTAATATTAGCATCTGATGGATTGTGGGATTACGTAAACAGGTTTTATTCTTAGAGCTTTTGGAAGTTTGGCTTTTGCCCTATCAAGCAATTAGTCATTCATTCATCTTCCTTATACTGGTAATCCAGTCATCCTGAAGAGCATAATGGTTGAGAAATTTTACCATGTTTCAGTTCAGATGCAGTTGATTTTGTTAGAAATCAACTTCGAGAACATGGAGATGTTCAGGTAAGGAATGTGCCATGGCTCCTTAATTGATCCTGCAGTACAGTAGGCATTATCTGATTTTCTTTGCTCTGATTACAGAGAGCTTGTGAAGCCCTTGCTCAGACGGCACTGGTAATAAACGGAAACTGCAACTCAAAAAAAAAAAAAAAAAAAAAACTTCTCTATGGTCGTTCTGAGATTCATTTGCTTTTATAGCTCTTATGCCGAAAATTTGCTAATTACTACAGGAACGAGGGTCACAAGATAACATCAGCATTGTGGTTGCTGATTTAGGGTACGTGCTGGCTCTTTAGGTTTATGTCTGTTCTCGTCATTTTGGCCTTCCTAACCTAGAAGTAAAATGAGATGGTTTTAAATGAGGGCGGTACCAACCAAAAAATGTCTCTCTTGGTAGCTCTTACTAACTCATCTAGTACAAGGTTAGTGCAATGACACTAACCAGACAAGATTGATCACATGAAAGGTTAGTGCACGAAGCTGGCAAGAAGGCTATTCTTTCTTTTGGATGTTTCCCCTTAGAAAAGGGAACGTAATTTTGTTATATGAATCCTGGTTGTGGGATGTGTTGTTAGTAGATATTCCATACGACCGAAACCAACACTACTTCACTCTTGAGAAATTTTATATGCTCTTTTACTGATTATTGCTGTTCTTGCTGTCCGTTTTTTCTATGTACAGACGGACCGACTGGGCAAGCGTGCCTCTCCGGCAGCAAAATTTGGTATATGAGTTGGCCCAAGCTTTGGCTACAATTGGCGCAGTTTCAATTGGGATATGGATGACATCTCAACTCAACTTGTAAAATGAAATGAAATTATCCACGCCTGTATTGTATACGTGTATATTCCAACTGCTAAATCCAAACTAACCGTCGACTCGTTTGGCTTATTATACCTATACGGAGTAATTACTTTTTTGCCTAATACTTGTGTAGATATAAGAGAATGATCCTACTCCCTAGCAAGAATTGGAATCCCATTTTCTAAGACCATATTACATACAGAGTATTGCCTTTGTATTTTGACAGTTTTATGTTTAGTCAAGGCGCAACTTTGCAGTGTTCTAAAGACTTGCAAAACAAAACTAGACCCTCAAAGCCTGCGCATGCATCATCATTTATTAAGCTTATATGAGCCCTCGAAGTCTCTGGCATTTTGCTGTCGCTTGATCAATTGCATTGTTGTTAGTCGGCGCACTTGGCTGCGCTCCATATATGCCGCTTGCTTTAATCTTCTTTTCTTTTCTTTTCTTTTTAGCCTTTTTCTTCTTCTTCATTTTGTTTTCTTGCGGGGGTGGTAGAAAGGTTTTGCTAAACATCAAAATTAAGTAGGTCTTTGTTATGAAATAATTACAAGATGTGGATGTCCGTTTATATTCTCTACATGATAGACTCATGTATTCTCCCTAGATTCATTGGTATATTGGATGAAGCCTTTTATGAATGTACTTGAAGTATTAAATTCATGTATTAGTACTTAATAGGGTTCATGTATCTTTTATCTTGGATCACCTATTTATAGGGGTGAATTCTATTTCTTTTGAAACCTTGAAATCTGGAAGTACTTTGATCAGTAAATATAATAATTCTATCTCTCTCTTCTTCTTACTCTACTATTCCAATCCCTACTTTTGGGAGTTTCTTTTATTAGTTTCACAATATATTATCAGCACAAGTCTCTACCTTGAGCTAAGGAAAAGCACGAGTCTCTACTTTGAGTGAAGGAAAAGCGCGAAGCAAAAGTGAAGCACGAGACGTGTTAAGATTCTACCCGAACAACTTTTGCCTATTTATCAAGGTAAAATTCTTTCCTGCGAATCTATTGCATAGTCTTATGGCTAATCTCACAAAACAAGAGTTCATACCTCTTGATATTTTTGAAAAAAATTATTTATCGTGGGTTTTCGATGTTGAAATTCATCTTGAGACAATGGATCTTGGTAATACTATCGTTGATGAGAACGATGCCTTAAACCAAGACCGTGCTAAGGTCATAATTTTCTTTCGTCGTCATTTAGATGAAAGATTAAAAGTAGAGTATCTTACTGTTAAAGATCCTCTTGTCCTTTGGCAAGATTTGAAAGAAAGATTCGACCACCGGAAGTTAGTCGTTCTTTCAAAAGCTCGATATGATTGGCTTCACTTATGACTGCAAGATTTCAAATCTGCTAACGAATATAATTCAACTATGTTCAGAATTACTTCGCAATTATCATTGTGTGGCGAAAAAATCACTGATGAAGAAATGTTAGAGAAAACATTCTCTGCTTTTCATGTCTCTAATATGCTCCTGCAGCAGCAATATAGAAAGAAAGGATTTAAAAAATATTCTGAACTTATTGCTTGTTTTCTGTTGGCTAAACAAAATAATGAATTATTGCTGAAAAATCATGAGTCCCGACCAACTGTTGCAAGTCCATTCCCTGAAGCGAATGGGACTCAATTTCAAAATTCTGGTCAAGGTCGTGGACGTGGCCGTAGAGGTAGCCGTGGAAGAAGCCGTGGACGTAGTCGTGGCCATGAACGTGATCGTAGTAGATTTGTGCCTCGTAAAAATTATAGCCGTAGCAAGCAACAAAATATTTCCCAAAAGAGGGAAAATAATTACGATCCGAAAAATGGAGAAAAGAAAGTTTATGAAGAAAAATGCTACCGGTGTGGTATGAAAAGTCACTGGTCCCGTACCTATCATACGGCTGAGCATCTTGTTGACCTTTATCAAGTATCATTGAAAAAGAAAGACAAAGATATTGAGACAAATTTCATTGATCAAAAGAATGATTATGATGATGCTGATGATACTGATATGACACACCTCGATGTAGCTGATTTCTTTGAACATCCTGAAGATGTCAACAAATATCCCATAATTGTTTAAATATTTTTATAATGCTTTTATATATTTCATTTAATTTTCTTTTCATTTAATATTTATCTTCGCATCTTTATTAATGTTTATTTTTGTTTGAATTTTTTTTCCTGAAGAAGAAATGAATGCCAAATATTTGGGATCAAATAATGGTGATGATAACATTTGTCTCGTTGATAGTGTTTCTACGTACACCATATTGAAAAATAAAAAATATTTTTCTTGTTTAACAATAGGAGAGATAAATATTAATACCATCTGTGGTAGTGTAAAATTAATTGAGGGTTCCGGAAAAATCACTCTATTTCTCCTTGAAGGAACTAGAATTGTCATAAATAATGCACTACTCTCTCCCAAATCTCAAAGAAACTTATTGAGTTTTAAAGATATCTGCAATAATGGATATCACATCGAGATAATGAATGAAACAAATAGTGAATTTTTATTAATTACAAAAACCATTTCTGGAAAAAATGTGTATTAGAAAAATTGCCATCGCTTTCTTCTGGCTTATATTATGCACGGATAAGTGCTATTGAAATTCATCACTTAGCAGACTAGAAGTTTGCTCATCCTAATGATTTTATGATTTGGCATAATCGTCTCGGACATCCTGGGTCTATTATGATGAGGCGAATAATAGAGAATTCGCATGGCCATTTATTGAAAAATCAAAAAGTATTGAAATTAAATGAATTCTCCTGTGTTGCCTGTTCTCAAGGGAAATTAATTGTTAGACCATCACCAGCTAAAGTTGGGACTGAATTTTCAACATTTCTAGAACGAATTCATGGTGATATATGTGGACCTGTAGATCCACCATGTTGACCATTTCGATATTTTATGGTGCTAATTGATGCATCAACTAGATGGTCACATGTATGTTTGTTATCTACTCGCAACATAGCGTTTGCGAGATTGCTTGCTCAGATAATTAAATTACAAGCACAGTTTTTTGATTATCCTATTAAAAGAATTCGTTTAGATAATACTGGTGAATATTCCTCACATGCTTTTGACGAGTATTGCATGTCCATTAGGATAACTGTTGAACATCCTGTAGCCTATGTTCACACACAAAATGGTCTAGCCGAATCATTTATTAAAAGATTACAATTAATTGTTAGACCATTGTTGATGAGGTCTAAACTTCCCTTATCTGCTTGGAGACATGCTATATTACATGCAGTAACACTTGTGATAATCAGACCGACTAGTTATCATAATTATTTCCCCCTACAATTGGTATTTGGTTTTGAGCTCAATATTTCTCATTTACGAATATTTGGGTGTGCGATTTATGTTTCTATTGCACCGTCCCAACGTCGTAAATTGGGCCCCCAGAGACGGTTGTGAATATATGTTGGGTATGAATCACCTTCTATTGTTACATATATTGAGCCATTGACAGGTGATTTATTTATTGCAAGATTTGCAATTTGTCATTTTGATGAATCACATTTCCCGACATTAAGGGGAAGAACAGATCAACCGAAAAAGGAAATCCCGAAAAAGGAAATCATTTGGAAAATCTCATTAGATTTCCTGGATCCTCGTACAAAAGAATGTGAATTAGAAATTCAAAGGATCATACATTTGTAAAATATTGCAAATCAATTGTCGGATGCATTTAGTGACTCCAGAAGAGTCACCAAATCACATATTCCTGCCGAAAATGTTCCGATTAAATTAAATGTCCCTGAAGGGCAAATCACAAGTGCTAATGAATCCAAAACACGCCTGAAGCATAGAAGACCTCTTGGTTCCAAAGATAAAAATTCTCGAAAGAAAAGAGAATCAAATGAATCAATAATTAGTGACAAAAATCAACCTCCTGAAGAGGTCGCTCTTGAAGAGCCAGCTCTCATAGAGCCAACTCCTGAAGAAAATGAAATTATAGAAAATTCGATAAACTTTGTCACTACAAGAAAAAGTTGGAACCGAAAAGAAATAATTGTTGATAGTACTTTTGCATATAATGTAGCACTTGATATTCTGATAGATGACGAGGATCATGAGCTTAAGTCAGTTGATGAATGTCTAGAAATGATTGGCTAAAATGAAAAGATGCGATACAATCTGAATTAAATTCACTGACTAAAAGGAATGTTTTTGGACCTGTAATCCAAACACCTGAAGGTGTAAAGCCAGTTGGATATAAATGGATATTTATGAGAAAAATGAATGAAAAGAATGAAATAGTGAGATATAAAGTAAGACTTGTAGCCCAAGATTTTTCACAAAGGCTTGGATTTGATTATGATGAAACGTATTCACCTGTAGTGGATACGATCACATTTAGATATCTTGTGAGTATTGCAGTGCATGAAAAACTTGATATGCGTCTGATGGACGTTGTCATTGCTTATTTGTATGGAAATCTTGAAAATAATATTTACATGAGAATCCCTGAAGGATTCAACATGCCTGAAGCATGTAAATCAAATCTTAGAGATGTTTATTTTATTAGAATGCAAAAATCTTTGTATGGGGTCAAGCAATCTGGACGTATGTGGTATAACCGTCTAAATGAATGTTTAACTAAAGAACGTTATACCAATGACCCAATATATCCATGTGTTTTTATTAAGAAAAATGGGTTAAATTGTGTGATTATTGCGATATATGTTGATGATCTCAATTTGATTGAAACTCCTGAAAAGATCCAAAAGACTGTCGAATATTTGAAACTCCTGAAGTACCATATCTCAGTACAATTTGTGCGCTTATGTATCTTGCTAATTGTACAAGATCAGATTTATCATTTGCTGTGAATTTATTAGCAAGATTTAGTTTCTCGCATACAAAACGACATTGGAATGGTATTAAACGCATTTTTCGCTATCTCCAAGGAACAATTGATCTTGGTTTATTTTATTCACATAAATCTAAGCCTGAGTTGCTTCGATATGCTGATGCTGGGTATTTGTTTGACCCACATAAAGCACGATCTCAGACTGGCTATCTCTTTACTTGTGGCGGAACAACCATTTCTTGGCGTTCTACAAAACAATCCTTAACTGCCACTTCATCAAATCATGTTGAAATAATAGCAATTCATGAAGCCAGTCGAAAATGCATTTGGTTAAGAGTTGTGGGTTATCCGGAAGAGTTATGTGCATTTGACCCACTACATCCGGAAGAGTTGTGGGTTATCCTCTGAGAAGAAAAATCCTCCAACTATTTTATATGAAAATAATGCAGCTTGTATAACTCAATTAAAAGGAAGATATATTAAGGGAGATAGAACGAAACACATTTCACCGAAATTCTTCTTTACTCATGATTTGCAGAAGATTGGTGAGATTGATGTGCTACAAATCCGATCGGATAATAATTTGGCAGATTTGTTTACCAATGCTTTGCCAACTGCTATGTTTGAGAAACTGGTGAAGAATATTGGTATGCGTCGGGTAAAAGATCTCATATAATGTTTGCATCAGGGGGAGAATTTATTACACAAGAATAATGTACTCTTTTTCCTTCACTAGGATTTTTGTCCCACCGGATTTTTCCCTAGTAAGGTTTTAACGAAACATATTCTTTGTGTAATGGACATCCAAGGGGGAGTGTTATGAAATAATTACAAGATGTGGATATTCGTTTATATTCTCTAGATGATAGACCCATGTATTCTCCCTAGATTCATTGGTATATTGGATGAAGCCTTTTATGGATGCATTTGAAGTACTAAATTCATGTATTAGTACTTAATAAGGTTCATGTACCTTTTATCTTGGATCACCTATTTATAAGGGTGAATCCTACTTCTTTTGTAACTTTGAAATCTGGAAGTATTTTGATCAGTAAATATAATAATTCTATCTCTCTCTCCTTCTTACTCTACTATTCCAATCCCTACTTTTTGGAGTTTCTTTTATTAGTTTCACAACAGTCTTGAGAATGTCAGAAGAGATCTCTCATTAATTATGTCCTTTTGGGCTTATCATATGCGGTGATTAGAGCTGATACGCGCACCATCTCTGAGCAAAACATTGTTGAATTTCTCAAAAAAAAAAAAAAAAAAAACTTGGCAACGATGCCAAGCCTTAGCCTTTGTCAAGAGTGGATATGTAGTCCTAATTCTAGGATTGACCCAATTTGCAATATTAAGGACTATTCTTGAGAAAAAGGGAATTTAAACACCGCCGTTTTACATAGATTAAATGACCAAAATGGTCACTAAATTATTCAAAATGGTACGAATTGATCATAATTTTTTTTTTTATCGAAAAGCTTTCCTCCGCATCCACCACCTACCGCCACTATTGTACAATGACTAGATCTGGTCGTGGGGGAAGGAGGGGATGGGAGGGGAGCGGTGACGAGGAAGGGAAGGGGAGGAGGAAGGGACAATGGTCAAGAATGAGGAGGAAAGAAGGGAGGAAGAAGGGAGTAATGGCGGAGGTGGAGGGGAGAAGTTGACAATTCATCAGCATTATAAAATGCAATAACTAAGCACGTCTTAAAGCCTCGGTTTGTTAATTTGTTTCATAATTTGCTTGTTCTCTGCGCTGAAATTTTGCTGCTTGAGCTTGACCTCCCGGTATGCCGTTCGGTTTCCCTCCTGCAAGATGGGCCGGGGAAGGGAAGAACGCATCGGTGCATGTTTGCTTCGACTTGTGCTAATGCTCCTTGGTGGGTCGAAGCCCTCATAAATGGTGTGTTTCTATGTAATTTGCCCATTGAATTTCGGGCTTTGCCATGTACACAGTACAGTGCCTCTGCAATTCACTTCGGGATCAGTTGATTCCTGGAATTGTAGCTATGATCGATTATTCAACTTTAAACGTTGAAGAGCTTAAATCTTCTTCCTCAGAACTTGAAATTCCAATTAATTCAATAGAAAGTGATCCTAAAGATTCATTTTAGGAAAGTTCAGTGACTTTTTGACAAAAGAAATAAAAAACAGCGACCAACTCACGTCATTTTAATAGTTTAGTGAAAATTTTGGCTATTTCCCCTCAATACATACAAATACGTACTCTAAAACCATTGACAAAAATAGA